CCCCTTCATTAAAAGCTACACTAAATAATTCATAAATGTTCTATTATATATGGTATAGTAGGAATACTCAAATTGGACAAGGAAAAATGTATTTCAAATTATCAACAGGCTAAAAAAGAAAAAAAGTGCATGCTCGTGCCACTGAATGCAGAAAAGTATCTAACACATATCCACAATAAAACACTTAAAAACTGAAAGGCAATTCTGAACATGATATGGAATAGTACCAAAAAACTGCAGCAAATGGTGCTTTTAATGATGAATAATTTGCTCTTTTCCCATTGAGATCAGAAGCAAGGCAAGTGTGAACCACAGTTTTGTTAGCATAAATCTAAACATAAACAAGAATAATGTAAAAAAAATATAACATTCTAATGAAATATCCATGAAGGATTAAATAAGTAGATAAATATTCTGTGTTCATGAAAACCTGAACTGCACCCTAAGCTACAAATCCAGTTTGTATTGCAGACTTAAAATCCAAAAAATTCCAGAAAACTATTGTATGGCAAAATTATTGTGAATTTTATATGAAGAGGCCAAGTTTTAGAATAGACAATAATTACTAAACAGCAAGAATAAGATGTAGAATTATCAAGCAAGGTTATAAGACAATGTGATAGCCCTGAAATAGATTCATACCAGATCTATTATTAAAGAACAAAGATGACAAAATAGAGACAATATAGCCTTTTCAGCAAATGGTCCTGGGAAAACTGACCCCAATAAACATAAAGAAAGAAAGAAAAAGAAAGAAAGAAAGAGAGAGAGAAAGAACGAAAGAAAGAGAGAGAGAAAGAGAAAGAAAGAAAGAGAGAGAGAGAGAGAGAGAGAGAGAGAGAGAAAGAAAGAAAGAAAGAAAGAAAGAAAGAAAGAAAGAAAGAAAGAAAGAAAGAAAGAACGAACAAGGGAAACTAAACTAGATATACACATTGCACTGTTCACATTAGAAAATTCAAAATAAATGATATCAATTATGTAAAATGCTAAATGAAATAAGTAGTAAAAGTTAGAAAAGAAGAAAGTGTAGTTGATCTTGGGTTTGGTGACAGTTTAGATACAATACAAAAGATACAAAAGAAATGATTGGCAATCTACCCTTTATTAAAGTTAAAATGTTCTGCTTAGTGAAAGGCATTGTCAAATGAATAAAAAGACAGCACAGCCAGGGAGAAGTTATTTGCAGAAGTAATGTCAGAAAAAGAATAGAAAAACTTCTCTAAATGTATGAAAGTCAACATTACATCTCAAAACTTACAATCAAAACTACAAAACTACAAATCTCAAAGTGCTTAACAGATCTGTACCAAATAATGTATACCTGTGGTAAATATGCATATTAATAGGTGTTCTACAATATGTGTTAAAAATAAATACAAATTAAAACAATGGAGATTACACTGCATGACTAATAAAATGGTCAAAAATCCATAACACCAATAATATCAGATATTGATGAGGATGCACAGCTATTGAAAATTTCCATTTCTACCTAGGAGGAATGAAAAATTAACTATATAATAACTTCACAAGAAGTTTGACAGCTTCCTAGAAACTAAATATGACCTTACTGTAAGTTTCAGCTAACACATTTCCTTTGTAATTGCCCAAAATGGGTAAGTGCCTATGCTCACAAAAATTTGAGCACAGGCATTTAGAACACAGTTGGCTAAAACTAGTATATAACCACGTGCACTGAACAAGCAACCAATCACAAAGGATTCAGACCACAGGGAATGAGCTATAAAACCAGAAAAGATAGGGAGGGAAAATTACCAGATTAAAGAAGGCAAGATGAAAAGGCTATGTACTGTAAATGCTGAACACTACAAAGATGTCTTCTGGGTAGTTCATCCTTTCAAGCTGAAATGCCACTTAGCCCTGCCATTTCTTCCATTCTTTGATCTCCTTGCCAGATGTTTTCTCTTACCATTTCAGCTTCTCAGGCAATTGAATTCAACCTTCAGACTACCTATATTTAGGCCTCCTAATTTTCAATGGATTCATATTTCTCTGAGAGCAAGCACTTGGGGATGAAAAAGAAAAATGAATGTGTGGAAACATGGTGGACTTGGACACATTCAGAAAGTTGATGGGTTCCCCTCAGTCACTCACCTGAACACTCTCCACAAGGTTACAAATCAAGGAGAATGGAAATATCTTTAATACATAATTGCTATTAATAAAATATTTTTACGTTCTTTCATGTTTGCTTATATAAGGAAATCTGATCTCATACATAGTTTTAAGAATATAATAATACTCTCCATCTCCTTCTTCTCATTCCATATCTCCTCCTTTTGATTTTCCTAAATCTTAAAAATGTCCTCCATGAATGTTGGAAAACATGGACTTTGTTCCACTTGGCAGAAGCATAATTGGCTGCAGATATAAACTGATGACAAACCAATGAGTTGGAATAGGATCTGGCTCTCAACATAGGTATTTAAAAACAATGTCTTAAGTAAATGATAGATAGATGACTGAGTGATGCCTTAATGTAATTATGTCAGAAACAAGAAGTCATGCTTTTCAAGGGTGGATATCCATGGCAACCACAAAGAAATTAAAAGCAGGGAACAAGGGGAAGAAGAACACACCCTTTGTCTCTGCTTCCTGGATCACTAGGTCATGATACCCTCATGAGGCAACAGGGCATTGAAGACACATGTCCTTCAACTGTGAATTTCCAAAACCGTAAGTATAAATAAACTTTCTTCCTATGAAGCTCCTGTCATGTATTTTTGTTATACTAACAAAGATGCAACTAATGACATGTTTTATTAAAACAAACAGCTAAAAATTTGTAAATAAAACTAAGTTTTCTATGTCTATATCTATATTCATGCTTACATATATGTGAAAATAACAACAGAAGACTAAATCAATGATAAAATGACAGAACCAAATTACCACCCATTCGTATTAACACTGAATGTAAACAACTTAAACTCATCAATCAAGCGTCATAGATTGGTAGATTAGATTAAAAAACAAAACCCATCTATTTGCTGCCTACAGGAGACACATCTTAACAACAAAGATCAGCAGAAACTATATCTCATGGATTTTTTTGTTGTTGTTAATTTAATTTGATTTCTTCAAAATGCTCTCTCCTGATTAAATTCTTCCATGACGCATAAATCAAACAGTAGCATAATTTTCTTCAAGAAAGCTCTTGATTTTCTTTCTTATTTCTTTAGCGACACATTAGCCATTCAATAGCATGTTATTTAACTTCATGGTGTTGTTAATTTCTTTTCTTTTTCTTCCTGTTATTGATTATGCTTTGTGGCTTTTCATTTAAGGAGATGTATAGTAACTCTGTAATGGAGACTATCCTATCCAGATGTGAGGATACAATGTAGTATGCATCTACTTCCAGACAAAGGTGGACTCCCAATGGAACTGTTTACTATATCTTGAAAATATGATGCTGGACTCTGCCATTATCACACTGATGGGCACATAACTATGCATGAAGAACTATACTATAGTAATGATATATGGGAATTCAGTGAGGGGGGGTAGGAATTGGGGAGCAGATAAGGGAAATCCCATGCTCCATGTGACTGTATCATAAAATGATAATAAAAAGAAGTAAAATTGAAATAAAGAATATGGGATGTGCTTTGAAGGATTGAGAAATCTACGAAGTACTAAAGGTGAGTAATTATTGCTAATGCATTTTATGGAAGCACTAAGAGTCACTTTAGAGAGCAGAGTGAATAATCCACCCCTGACGACCTGGAGGAGAGGGAGAAGTAGCTGAAGCATGGACTGGAAAGAGAACAGCTGCATGAGTCGCTAGTTGTGGTACAGATCATGTTTTATGGGCAAAGTTACTTAAAGAGAGCAGATGAAGTTTTATCCAGACATAAACTGAGAAAGTAGTTTAAGCCAAGGCCAAGAGTAACACAAATGCTTTAGTGAGTAGCAGCTGGAAAGGCCCAGCAAAAGGGAGTGCTATCCACACTACTTAGAAGAAATTAACTACATCTAGGAAGAAATAGCAAGGACAAGTACAGGATTAGGACAGGTTGCCTTAGAAGGCTTCAGGGCAAAAACAGAAACAAAATAGGAGATAACTGAAGGCATTATGAAATCAGCTTCAACCAATATAATGCAAGAAAACAGTCGTTTTACAGTAAGAGGGCTTAGCCTGAAACGGAGAACAGCACTGTAGGGACTCTGTCTACCACACCTTCCTGCTCACATCTTAGAAATGCAAAGTATTTATTCTGATTTTAACAGGTGAAGTTCAGTATTGAGACTGAGTCAACTTTAACCTGCAATTGAACAACTATAGCATTTTCTTGTGTGTGGAATTTATACTGCAAATTAAGTATTGTTATAGTGAGCTTAATTATAATACAATAATCATATTTATTGTGAATATAATTCATTCAGCATTTGAATGCCCATAATTGTAAGTACTCATAAAAATAAGTGATTTTTTATTAAAAAGAAAATGGCTAATGTTTTCCACAATGCTTAAAATTGGCTTAAGATGAGGCAAAAGTCATTTATGCCACTCATCTTCATACATACATAAATACACTGCAAAGCTCATTGATTCATATTTTCTCTGTAGGGATTTAAATTCATTTTCAATGAGAGAATAAATAATGAACCAGAATTTCTGAGACAATACATTTTTGAGATAATAAAAAGATTAATAGTTTTTGAAAATTACTTTACAATGTTATTTAGACTATGTATGCACTGAATGATCATTTTGGCTTCCAGGCAGTTATTTTAATGTGATACAAAAGTAGCTCATGAGACATCAAAGCTAAGAGGTATTATATGCTTTGTGTAATTTATTCTAAATGATGAACTTCAGTAAAATATCGCTACTAAAGTCTGGACCATGTAGGGTTTTCAAGGCAAGCAGAGAATGTGTCCTTATACTCTGGATTCTCTTAAGCGTTTCCCCTGTTTCTTAATGGAATTATCGAAGTCAGAAATACGTTACGTGATGAACTTTTTGGGTTTACCTTTGCTTCAATCTGTTTAGTGTCTGCATTCTGAAACAAAAATTTGATTTTGCTCTTGCCATCATCTGAAGAACCTTTCAGCTGAGAAAACTTATACCTCCAAAGTACAGCCTAAAAAGAGAGAAGAAAAACATTTGCAAGTCAATGTAGCTACTATTAACATTTGTCCTTTTTTAAATGGTAAAAGTTAATCCAATAAAACCAGAGCAATGTCCTCCCATTATTTGAAAAGTAAGTAAAAATATATTTATCCAAGGCTGTAATTTAGAAATTAAAATATCTTTTGATATCCATTAAATAACATTTATACCCTAAGAGATATGTATTGTTTTCAGTATCTTCTCTTCCCCAAACAGTAGCAAAACATTGCTTGTTTCTTTTCTGAAAAACCAACATATGTGAAGAGATGAGACTGAATGCATCATTTTGGAGCTCAAACCAATACCTTGTCACCTTCTTAGATGAAAAATCAGCTGAAATACTTAATTAGAGCAAAGTCTGTATATTGTACTCCCCACCAGAGATTAAACAAATTTTTTTACAAAGCCATCCTCTTCCGTTTACTAAAAAGGTAGAGCTTCCTTCACAAATGTATTGTATAAATAAAATTCCCCACTGAAAAGTAAGAAAAGTACATCGCCTTCCCAAATATCAAAATGCAGATACACAAATATGAGCACGGCCGGTAAGTGTAAATGGAGTCTTATCGTTTCTTATACTCTGCAACAGATCCTAGTGTTCAAGAGTGAAAGCAGCACTTTATTTTGGTGCAAGTCCTCGAACTAAAATATGCACCCGACATAATGCCAAAGGTGTCAACCCTTCAAGTGGAAATCAATGGAGGCATCATGATAAACAATCACAGACTTCCTGTTTGCTTTAAATTGTCTTGCCATATCTTTGTCACATTAAATGCATGATACAAAGAAATGCATATTGGCATTGCTAATTTAGGCTATACATAGTTTTGAAGATAGCTACTAGAGGTTTCTAAATGTGTCAAGAAGCAGCTGCTGTTGTTGATTATTTTTCTAGCGCACTCTTGTGTAAGCTACTGTTTCTGATAAAACAGTAAAAAATAAAATGTGGAGTGTGTGTCTCATATGCTTTCCTACATAATTATGTTAGAAATGTATAAATGTGGCTGAGTAAGCATCCATGGGTCTGTGGATATATTCGCATTATCTTACAAAGGATACGCTACAGCTAAGCATATTATGAAAATGAATTTCAGCTCGTTATCGGTGACTCTTCAAAATCATTTGTCTCAGAGGCCTTAGCTTCTGAAAGCAGATTCTTCAGCGAGAAAGTTTATCCGCTCACTTAGTAAAATAATGAACTATTTCTAGTAAAATGTCTTTTTGCCAAGACAATCTCACACTGACAGAGAAAATGAGATCCGTAAAGGTTGAAAAGACTACATTTAAGGAAGACTGAAAAAACATGATTAAATGCTTATCTCTGCCCGACAAGTGCAAAGCAAGACTTCATACACACGTGCTAAAATGCCAAGCTTAGAAATCCCAAGGTTTAAACGTAGTCAACAATACTTATGATCTCCATGTGGACATATACGGCTATCACTATGACGCAATGACGACTGACATTCCATTTCTAATTTCACTTTAATGCATAAAATAGTTTTTAAATCTTTTTCAAAGGAAATTAATGTACACTGCATTTCCAAAAATAGTCTTTTAAACAAGTATTTTTCTATTTAATTTTTTTATTATTTTCCAACATAATTTTATAGGCATAGAGAGTTTAATAAAATATATGTATTAACATATATTAAATTATTTTTATTATTTTCCATTATGCACTTTTGTAGGTATAGAGATTCTCATTTATCCCTCCAATTCTTACTTCCCATCAATTTATTTTCAGCTTTATTTATTTTTATTGCAAAGTCAGATATACAAAGTGGAGGAGAGACTGGGAGGAATATCTTCTGTCAATTGATTCACTCCCCAAGCAGCTGTAATGGCCGGAGCTAGCCATCTGAAGCCAGGAGTTCAGGGTTTCCTTCCAGTCTCCTACTCAGGTACAGGGTCCCAAAATTTTGAGCTGTTCTCAACTGCTTTTGTAGGCCACAGCAGGGAACTGGATGGGATGCAGAACTACAGGAATTATAACCAGTGCCCGTATGGGATCTCAGAACATGTAAGGCAAGGATTTTAGGCCCCTAGGTTACCGCAATTGGGCCCATCACTGAACTATCTTACTTTAAAAGTTCCTGTGAAAATGGATAATACTGCTCATAAAAGTGATTTGGGGGGCCCGGCGGCGTGGCCTAGCGGCTAAAGCCCTCTCCTTGAACGCCCCGGGATCCCATATGGCGCCGGTTCTAATCCCAGCAGCTCCACTTCCCATCCAGCTCCCTGCTTCTGGCCTGGGAAAGCAGTAGAGGATGGCCCAAAAGCCTTGGGTATCCCTGCACCCTCATGGGATACCTGGAGGAAGTTTCTGGATCCTGGCTTCAGATTGGCACAGCATCGGCATAGCATCCGCTGTTGCGCTCACTTGGGGAGTGAATCATCGGATAGAAGATCTTCCTCTCTGTCTCTCCTCCTCTCTGCATATCTGACTTTCCAATAAATGAATAAAATCTAAAAAAAAAAAAAGAAAGACCCTTCCTCAAACTTAAAAAAAAAGTGCTTTAGAATTTGCAAAGATTTTTTTTCTCTCTATTGGTTCAAACTAGTGTAATACAGTGTTTCCAACAGCACCTTAAACCAGCGGCAAATATTAATGTGGGAAGACACCTGAACACAAATATTCACACTGCTGGGAAGAAACGGAAGCAGAGGTGAAATATTCAAGAAGCTAATATTATCTACTTCATTTTTAAATGATGGGCCTTTTTGTAGTCTTCTAGGAAGCAGCTTTGTATTTGCTTATAAAATTAAATCTTTGTTTGATCTTAAATGTACATAACTTTTCAAGGAAGACATGTCCCAACACATTTCTACATTGATCTCAGGGCATACACAGACTCTGGTTTCTACACTGTATCGGGTAGAACGTACCCTCTCCATCGACTGCAGACACTGCTTTTAAGGTTCTGTTCTTTAGCATAACATCTTCAGTATTCACATCCCTGAAGTTCCAAGAAAACAGGATGGCGGATATTGGAAAAACAGCATAGAAGTAGTGGAAATGAATCAAAATTATGACAGTGACTGCTGGACCATTTTTAGAGATTCATTAACTGGTGTGTTTATTTTAAAATGTTTAAGCAGTAATATTATTTTTTTTCATATGCTTTAAGACTTTTATTAAACTCTACCTAATATGATAATCCTCCATAAAATCCTCCATAGCTTTATCCATTCCTGGTTGACAAGAAAACAACAAAGTTTAGTTTGAGATGCCAGGCAATATGGGATTCTGATCACAAGATCTAGCGGTCCCCACCATCTTCCATAAAACCAAAATTTCATCCTTCACGAAACCAAAGTGTATGAATAGAGTGCCATGGGCTCTGGAATTATAACTAACAATGTGCCGGTGAGATGCAGCACGAGCTGGGCACACTGTGCAGCTCTGCTTTCCAGTGACTTAGAGAATGGAGAGATGGGTTTGGGGGCCTTTACCGTCACTTAAATCTACCATATAGGGAAATTTGACACCTATATTCTCAGTTTGAATCCTTCAGATGAGCTGTTCTTTGCTTTTTGGTTCATCCTGAGGAATTTGTGCTAGGGATCAGCCAGCAAGAAAGTAGTCTGGCTGGGATTGTTGATTCTCAATAAGTTTGTATTTGAAATGGTGGACAATTTATTTGACTGTTGGTACATCTACAAGGTTTCTGTAAGACCATTGCCAATTATAATAATAAACAGACAAAAATCATAACCATACATATAGGATCAATGTTTTGAAGAGTAATTCTGAATTAGCCCTGAGGCTAAGCTGCCCAAATTGCAAGACGGTTGCCATGACGGCAGGTTATAGCACGGAGAATGAAGGAGCAGATGATGATTGTTGTTTATGGATTATTGATCTTGTTCTCAGCCACAGCAGCAGTGCAAGACCTTCTGTTCTTCCTACAACTTAAAACAAGGCAGAATCCCTGTGAAGTTGCACCTGAACAAGCTCTTTTTCCAGAAGTAGGTGGATTGCCTTGTATCTGCTTTTCTGTTGTTAGGGATACCAGCTGCCTGAGGACTAACTCCAAGAAAACAGCTGAAGGGACCCCAGTGTATGACAGCTTATATTCCCTGTAGAAGATTGAAAAGTGATATTTTTGAAATAAAGTTTCATCTTCCCTATCACCCTTTCCTAGAATGCATCTTTAGTATTATCACCAACTTTAATCTATTTTCAAAGCATTAAACAAGGAAAAAATTATCAAGCTTTCCATCAAACCTACTTCATCTGATCCTATCAACTGACTTTCCCTCACATCTTGTGAATTTCTTAAATGGTCTTTTTATACCATTAATTTTATGTAAGCGAGCATTTATCTCTTGGCTTCTCACAATAACTTTCAATTTAATATCATCCCTTTATTCTTTATAGCCTGTAACTTATTTTAAAAGCCTGTTCCTTTCCCTTGATAAAAAACAAATCTTTTCAAATCATATTTATGCTACCTGATACCTTTTAATAGTATTATAATGATTATATAGAAACCATTTGCCAAGACATATTAGACCCTTGAAGATGAGATCCTCTTATCGCATCTTTTACCACTGTCCTTCACTCATATTTGGCTGCAATCACACTGTATGCCACACAACTCAAAGTACATTTTCTTTCCATTTCCATGTCTCCTGCTGTCCATTTGGCCTCAAGAACCTCACTTAAAAGTTCACTGGCTGATTGATATGCTGCCTGGAGGAAGCCTTTACAAAAGAACATGATGAGAGAGCAGACTGCTTTCATGAGCTACTCCACAGTACTTTGTACAAGAGACAGAAACCATATTTTTATTAATCAATTTTAGCAATCTGTGATAAGGGGTTATTAATAACCTTAGTAAGTGCATTTTTACTGCAGTGACAAGTTCCAAGATAGTAACCTATCAGGATTTAGAAAGTTACAACCTCAAGTGGAAACCTCGCACACAACATTCAAACACACATGTAAATAAGCAACAAAGAAGA